TTGTCTTCAGTGGCCAAATAAAATGAACACTGACCAACATATTTGATGTGTATTGATGATGGCACTCATCAAAATGTAATGTTTGTTACTGGTTTTCTCAATTGTAGATTATGTTTTTTTTTATAACTATATTTTTGTGATTTTATGATGTAAATCTCTTTGAACTGCATTGTTGCTGAAACGTGCTACACAAATAAACTTGTCTGAAATGGAGCCAGCAAGAGGAAAATCTCTGACATCTTCTGGGAATACTTTGAGATGATGGTTCACAATAAAATTCTTCTTAGATAACAATAATTAACCCTCCACCTCCCAATTTCTCACCTTCTGCAAAGTTCCACTATTATTTGTAGTCTGATTAGCAAAGATATATCAGTCTTGCACAGCAGAAACAGATTTAAACTTGTTGCAGAACTAAAATTCAACATGTAGCCAAATATACGAGATCAGAGCCAATTAGAAATCCAAGAAAAAGTGAACGCCCCAACAGACACTGCACTCCCAAGACATTAAAACATGAAATGTCTTTATTGTCAAATCCATCTATGGCATAAAAGAAACCCCAACACAACCACTGATGTTCAACATAAACCAGGATTAGATTGGTTACAAATAATTTTAATAATTAAAACAAATGTCGTTTAACCCAGTTAAACGAGATTTAACTGAAGTCCTAAAAGGGGTGCGCGTTTTAATGTTTTTATCTTTATTAATCTTTTTTTCAGAATCTCTTTCTCTTTCTTACTGTTTATTCAATGTCACATGCTGTTTTTTTAATTATGTAAAGCACTTTGAAATGCCTTGCTGCTGAAATGTGCTATACAAATAAAATTTGATTGATATGACAATTAAATATGGTTTCATTGATTCTCCTGTTACTAAACATGAGTTTGATGAAAACTTTGTGACAATATTGCATTTAGTAGTTTCTGGAAGTATGATTCAACTGAGTGACAAGGCTGTTACAGTTTCACCAGCAGATGTCACTAGTGAGCAATGAATGAAGCATCGAGTAATGAACCTTTTTGCAAAGCAAAGGGTTGGAAAGCTTCATTGCTTCATGAGGCTTCATTTGCCCATCACTAGCAAGCGAGAAGAAAAACAACAACCATGACGGATTATAATGAGGACTAAGTTGTTAATATGCTGCTCTGGTTGGACAACAACTTCAAATGTGCAAGTTTTCCTCCACCGTAAGCATCCATGTTTACTTCTGCAAACACGGAGCACTTCTTTTTATGGCGGTTGGCAGAACACTGGGAACGCTGACGCTATTGCGCCCTCTACTGTGGATGCGGGACACTGTCGGGTCGTTTGAACGTTCACGCTCGGGAACATACAGATCGCATATGGAAGTGTGAACGACCACGGCATAAAAAATTTAAAATACGATTTTGTGGTATTGCTATGTTAAAATAGTGGAAATAAGCAGGCATCAGACGTCGCTCAGCTTCCGTTCTCTGCTTCTTCTTTACATACAGCATATTTTGTTCACATACATAGTCAGAGCCCCCCCTGCTTTCCTTTTCATGCAATAACAGGACATAACAGATTTGACATAAAAATCGGAATTGGGCCACTCTGGGTTGCACTGTGAACGAAGCCTAATTGATTCAGTCATAAGTTTCCACAAATAACATTCACTCTAAGTCATTAATAAATAAATACTCTTATTCCTACATCATTAAATGTGGAAAATTGATACATACTTGCAAATATCTTACTCTCAAAATAAAATATAACTACCTGAAAACTAGAAGCACCGATTCAGTCAAACAAAAAAAATGCTTATGTTAATGCAGGTTATATAAAAAATAAAAAAAAACATTCACAGTGTCGAGTAAAAAAGCTGATCAACATTTTGATCTGCTGAGTTTTGCTTTATTTGTTTCTGCTTACCTTTTGGTAGCCGAGCAAAGCGATCACAAGCAGACCAAACTCCTCTAGTGGACATGATCTGCTCCTGGGTCAGGCTGAATGGCAGCAGAGAGAAGAGCAGATAGAGGGACATGATGAAGCTGCATATGAGGAAGATATCCAACAACTTCCTGTTTTGTTAGATTTTTTTTTCCTGGTAAAAATAATGTTTCTAGTGA